TACATTGTGTCTTAACTGTGTTATTCACGTGATCAACATCGCATAACAATTTAAATGTATTTGGAATTGATGAAGGGCGTGGTGAAACGTGGAAGGAAACAGAGGAGGGACTTAGACATTTCACAAAAGAGGTACTGAAACTTGATTCACCTGAAAATATTGGAATATAGTGGGCACACAGATTCTCGTCCACATCTGACCACCATCGAGTTATTGAGACATTTGGTTTATTTAAAGACAACCATTCTGTATTGCATGCAACGAATCAGGTATTGAGAGGATGGTGCTTAATTATAGAGTTTCAGAAGATTTTAAAGTGAGGATAATACAGATAAGATGAAAACTTTTTGTCCACACGAAGAAGGCAAGAGAAGAAGGCAGAGTTGCGTTTTTGAAGTATGATGAAATTATTGTTTGGTTGTCCATCGCTTATGAAGAAGACGAGGATGACATTGTGAAAATCGGACAACAGAAGAAGATAACGACAGAAAATGAAAGAGATTGTTCTGGATAGGAAAGTAGTCATGGTTCCAATTACTTGGACACATCTCAAGTAGCTATGGACTCTAGACAAAGTTCTTACCAAAGTGATGCACTGACTAGCATATGTACAGTACATGGAATGTACATTGACTACCACCTAAGTTCTCATTTGTTGACTTTGTTACTTATTATATTTTGTTTGACCGAAACATGGTGTCTAAACCAGGCATTATAAATACAATACAATACATATGAGTGCTATGTGTGTGTGACCCAAGGAGATTATCCGAATCTGGAAAGTTGTCAGGAGGTATTGTACTCTGTATAAAGAGATCTCCTTCAGCTTTCGCATTACAGGGTATTGAGAAAAGGGGAAATTGTTTGGGTTTATTAAATTAAAATAAAACGTTAGAGAGCATTTAACCCTTTTGGGGGTATGTCTACATACATCCAGAAAGATCCCGGATGATCAGATGAAACTGCTATTGACATGCTTGAGCAGAAGCCATTACATTTTACCATGACTTTGGTGATTGGTAAATTGTATTTTGAGTGGAGACTTCATTGCTCGTATCAGAATTTAGATGACTTCGTTCTAGATGACAGTTCCACTTATCTCCCTTTACTTTAACAGGATACGTCTGATTTGTTTCATTTTGAACGATCTACATGTGATAATATTTATTAACTGTTGTGGATACTCACTGATTGAGCTTTGCACAATGTTTAACATGCATACTATAAATTGGAGAACCATATCTGGTATTTCAAGTAATCACACCTTCATGGCACACTTGGGTACACGTTTTGTGGACTGGTTTCTAGTGTCAAGTGAAAACATAGTCTACTTTAAAGTATAGTCTCGTACAGCATCGGACCACGTGCACATTCCTATTGTGTGTAGTTCGAAACATCAACAAGGAGTATAATAAGATTGAGCAGGCTTAAAGGCTAGCTTGAGCGCCAAGGTACAAATCTTGTGATGGTGATATTACAAATTATCTTAAATAACTACAGGCAATGGAAAAAGTTATAAATTCCTTATAGTATCAAAGAGGATGTCAATTTGGCAATTAATGATCTGGAATACATCCTGAATTGTGTAAGTTCAGTCTTTTAATATCCTATATAAAACCACTTTTCAAAAAGAATGTGGACACTGCTAAATGAGAACAAGGGAGATAGGTCTATTGATATACAGACATCTACGAGGTTGAGTGATGATGATCTAAAACCTTCCTACGTCACATTTATGTACATCACTTGCTATCATATCTGTGTTTTGGTCAAGAGCCTCATCTTCCAAATGGAATTTATTTTTCCATCATTTTTTCAGACTGGACGCGAGTGACACTATGTTGTAAGACATACGTGTTAAAAAAAGATGTCTAAATTCATGTCCAGGTGTATACATGGGACGAGTGTCAATGTGATGAGTTCTGTAATAGATTGTATTCCGACACCTGATACGTGCTACAGATATGATAAATTGAAGAAATAGAAGTATGTACCGGCTTTGTTACAAGCTGCCTCTATATTTAATTGGGATGCTACGTCTTCCGAGAGATGGTATAATAAAGAATGTCATAATAGTAACAGGAGGCCCGACAAGCACTTTGAAGGTACAGAAATTGCAAAAATTCACTTTTTGAGGAACTTAGCAATAAATATAACTAAATCACCAGATAAGCGTGTACTTCATTTAAGAAAGAGCAGCTACATATCTAAGAGAGATTTCTTGTTAACGTTCAATTATTTCGGAAGCAAGTTAAATACATGATTTGTAATAGTAAGTGTAAAATACATATTAGTGTAAATATTTGGGACGTTTATCTTCACGAAGTTTTCAACGTTTATGATTTTTTATCATAAACACTGAATGTTTCTGATACTCTCGATAAAGCAGCGACTCATGACCTAGAGACCGCAATTACATCACAAGGGATACTAAATGGTATACAATCATTAAAGAAGGGTCTAAATACTGGAAATGTTCACATCAACACCTCAGATAAGTAAGCCTTACATGCAGATTTCATTCAATAAGATTTGTTCAACAGGCCAGTTTCCACGTGTTTGGTTAAAGGTTTGGAACCAAGTTAAAAATGGCCCAAGAATATCGTTATAACAACAGGGGCTTAAGTTTAAATGAGGTATTCGGAGAGATATTTGCAGTAATTTAACTGTAGATTAAAATCAGGGAAAATCAGAACAAGCAGGTTTCAGGACAACGAATAACATGTTCACACTGACTGCTTGTATACAACAAGAGTCATCAGAAAGATGACATATCCCCCCGGCAGCTGTCTGTAAAGTAACCACTAGTAAATGTGCAATTCTGTATGTAATGAGTCAACAGTTGAATGTTCTTTAAGAAGCATACATTGTTTACCCACTGAATGGTTTTCGAATTCTGGCCCGGAAACGAACCCGTTCCCCAATGGAGTCTAGGTCCAACTTCTTTCCATAAAAATTGTAAAAAATAAAAATTCCTAAAAAAATAAATATGAAAAGGCACCACTTCAGTATGTGCCTGATAGATTTGCCAAGTTTCGATCAAATACACTGAATGGTTTTCGAATTCTGCCCCGGAAACGAACCCCATCCCTAATTGAGTCTATGTCCAACTTCATTCCATAAAAATTTAAAATAATAAAAATTAGAAAAATCCCAAAATATCAAAAGGCACCACTTCAGTATGTGCCTGATAGATTTGCCAAGTTTCGATCAAAAACACTGAATGGTTTTCGAATTCTGCCCCGGAAACGAACCCCATCCCCAATTGAGTCTATGTCCAACTTCATTCTATAAAAATTTAAAAAAATAAAAATTAGAAAAATCCCAAAATATCAAAAGGCACCACTTCAGTATGTGCCTGATAGATTTGCCAAGTTTCGATCAAACACACTGAATGGTTTTCAAATTCTGCCCCGGGAATGGAAATGATTACTGACGGACAGACGGACGGACAGAGAGACTGGCTGATCGCTATATCCCCCCGCATTATATGCTGGGGGGATAAAAACAGTTTAAGTGAACGTAACGTTCCCTACGTTTGTGCTTAAAAATGCATTTGATTCTGCAAAGAGAAAAAAACGTATATTTGTTCACAAAAAGTTGAAATGTTGAATATGGTTCATTCTTTCTTTTGCGATGTAACGGTGGTAACGGTAGTTTTGCTGGTCCTATGGACTTAAGCAGGGTTAAGTATTATGCCAAATTTATTGGATGCTTTTATTTATGAGTCTTGAAAGTCTTGAAACATGCCGAAGAGGAGTACAGTTATTTCCAGATTTACATTAATTGTTTCTATTGATGTTTGCTGATGATGTTATTAATAATTCTGATAGCGTAGGTGGGCTACAAGACAATTGTTTAACATGAACGTTAAATGGCAACTATCGAAAACTAAAATATATGTGGAACTTTTAAACAATGTGAGAATGGTATTCTCAAAATGAAATTGTAGAAGTTGTGTTAGAATAAAAGTACTCAGGACTTTTGATGACCCCGTCTTTCAATTTAACAAGAGCAGTGAAACATTTGGCGTTAAATGTTGGTTTCAACAAATGAAAAAAATCCCATATGATAATATGATAATATATTTCAAAATATTTAATTAAAAAATTAAACCTATCTTTTGTGAATGAAAAATATGTCGACATCTAAGATTAGGGTAAAGATACTAGCGCTATCTCGGACGTTGGATTCGGTCACTACTTTGACTATAGCATTGTGTACCTTTATCTTGAAGTTGGCTTTTGTCAGATGAACAACTTTGCAAAATAATAATTTTTAAGCATTTCACATAGCTGTGAGATGTTCTAGATACAGCATGTGGAAGCCGAAAATAGCCAGAAAACAGAGATCCCTTGCAACCTTGGGCATTAAGTGCAAACAAACATCTGTCCCTGACTTGTTTTCGTTGTTGTTTTTTGCTAAGTGTTTGTTAAGTCCACGTACTCATCTTTCAGTTGTTGTCAATCCTACACGTAATACGCGTACACATGTACATTTGTCACAATTAGTATTGATCATTTTCTCCGTAATACATTTCAATAAGTCATTGCACACACGTCCTGTGCTCTTAATAAATTATGCATACAATCGTATTGCCATGGATATATAATACTCAGTCTGTTGCTTGATCTGGCTGGCTGCCCATGCCTCGCTGTCTCGAATGTTCGGATATCTCCAAGTTTAGACTTAAAAGGCATACATACATACAAGACAGATATGTAATTCGACATCAGTCAGTAATCTGTATGCATTATGGCAAACACAAATTAACAAGATTTAATATCTGTTAGGCGTCTGCATATACTTCAAGTGTGCCTTCAAAAGCAAAGAAGTATTTCAATGACACGTGAACGTATTTGCAAAATGATCCTGCACTGTATAGTATGCATTTCAGGTATTTCGATCTATGACCTTCCATGCAAAAACATTTAGTTTGAACTTGATCAAATATATTTGAATATCATCCTCATTATCTAAGTTTGTTGTATATAATACAGGTACCAGCTGCCCAGGAGGAAAGTTCGGAGACACCTGCAGCTACTCATGTCACTGTACTCCGCCCTGTAACCCGACAACCGGAGTCTGTAACGGTGCATGTGATCGAGGCTGGTTTGGTGGGAGTGGGCAAACCTGTCAGAGAGGTGTGTGTGTGTGTGTGTGTGTGTGTGTGTGCGTGCGTATGAAATGAATGACGCCTTATGCAGCCTGAACGCCTGAAGGCTTGACACCTTTGTTATCCCCCGTTATAGAAAGCTCCGCCGAGAGTAGCTTGTTGACAGGCGTTGATTTACTTCCGAGACATACTTTCCCAGTTGAGTAGCTTCGCGAGGTAACTCTTCTGGAAGACTGTCTGTACCTATATAAGAACAGGACCAGGGCGATTCCTGACCTTCTACGACCTGACTTGCGTCTTATGTATATACTGACTAGCATTCGGTGTGGAAGGGATATCTATCTGAAAACAATGACTACCTGCAATACCTCCCAACACGATTCTTGATCAATTTTTATATTAAACACATTCGACAGTGACTTTATTCTTGATTCTCGTGAGTGCATTAACATATTATATGCCCTTTCGTTTATTGCATTGTCTTGCCTCTTGCGAATGTAAACTGAATCCTTTGTGTTTCAATATAATCTGTTTATTATTTAATTATGTTGTGTGGTTATATACTGATCATGATTTCACAATTCAGTTCTGTATGTAACGATTTCTAGGTTAATCTTCGTGTTTCAACTTGGAAATTACCTCATAACGATATGCAGTAAAGAGTCGAAGCTTTTTCAAAGACTTCGAAAGACCATGTTTTTCTTCTTATGAGATTATAGCACACTCACTCAATCTGTAGTTTGTATAACAAAGTTTACCACTAGTAATATCTATTTGAAAGCCTCATTGTGTGGTCATATAATTCGATGAAATTGGATCTTTGATTCTTCAACAAAAAGAAAGAAATTAAGTGTGAGACAGTGTTCCTTTGGAATATATCTTGCAAACATTCTCAAATTCTGTAATAGTAACTCTTTTTGTAGATATCACTGATCTATTAAATCCACTAAGATCAAATTCTTGGAAGTGAAAATAGATACTTGTCCCTCATAATAAATTACAATTTTAAAATCAATTTATATTCGTCTTTATTATGGTATAAGGGAACGTTGCCTACAACAAGACAGCAACTTCGTCCAAAACTGAATACGTATCTAGTGGCTGGACTGCAGACAAAGCTGTAGATGGGAACCGGAACCAGTATGTGAGCAGCAACTCCTGCTTCCACTCTTCTCTTTCCCATGGAGCTGTGTGGACAGTGGACCTTGGCCAGCAGTACAGGATACATGACGTCAGGATATACAACCGGGCAGGAAGTATGTATCACTTCAGACAGAGTTATTTGATTTATTAGGATATTATGTTGAGGCGTCACAAAGCATGTTAATACATGCCGATCAAATACAACTTTAAATGTTTCTTTAAAACATTTTAACTGAATGTGGTCACACATGGTCTTATTTGACATTCCCTCATCTTTATGCAACAAGATGATAGATAAACTGAACCCAACCAAGTGCCATTTGATATGCGATTTGTTATTGTTCAAGAGCACATTGTTTCCCTCCGTCAGTATGTCATTTATTCCATTGCCTGTTTTAGATATTGAGCGGATCAGGACTGCTGTCCTCTCCCTGAGTAACTCCAATAGCTCCACACCCGGAGTCACCTGCTACACCTTACCCTCTGACACACCTCAAACAACCAACAGCGTGTACGACGTGACGTGTGACGGCACAGGGAGATACTTCACCATCACACACAGCGCACTGCTAAATCTATGTGAGGTGGAAATTTATGGTATGGATAATTTCTCACAGCAGTCAACTGTGCATAGGCACTGCCTTCGAAGTGGCATATATTTTATTTGGTCATATATTCAATGGCAGTGACTTATATTATGCTTGCTGCACTTTTAATAAGTGCTAGTTAAATGAAAACATTGATTGCGATTTTGCCTCGAATAACAATTTTCCTATGTAAATTTAAAATGTATGACTTCGTTGAAAATAGTTAAATGTTCAAGAAAAAGTGCTGAAATCGGATTCCAGAACAAACTATTTAGTGGCGTGGACTAAAGATACCAGCACAACGGTAACATCAGTGCGTGAGAAAGGTTTTCATTGGCTTGGTTGCAGAGCCTATCCAATCTATCTTGTGCTTAGCTGCTAATCTGTGAAGCTCCAGGTTAGAATACGTCTTCAGCAACCCATGTAACCCAGTTTACTTCCCGCAAAGAATGTGCATACGACTATGACTGCGTACAGAGGACCGGATTGTTGTGCGATTAAGTTGTGTAATTTTACCCAGAAGCTGCAGCCGCCATATATGAAGCCTCTGTTTATAAAATCTCCGCCTCCACAGTATTTTCGTTTCAGGTTCATGAATTGATCGACATGACTAAAGCTAAAATTAACCTTATTTAAGAGCAGATGTTTCTGCAAAGTTGTACCTACCCATGGCACTTTACATATCTTACAAATGACGCATACATTTTTTTAAACAGTCTTAAATAAAACATGAAGCCTTTATGGCATAGGCAGGCTCTTAACTGACAAGGAATGAAGATTCCTTTATTGATTGAAAACTTTTTCACCCACCGCTCCGACGCTGCCCCTATGGCTTTAGGCCAAGCCCAAATATATGTTTGTTTTGGAAGCCTATTACGGAGCGTGTGATTTAAGCACGTTCACTTTGAAATTTCTATACTTTCTACGAATATTATGACTTTTTCTCTCTTAAAAGTGACTAAATGTATCTATGAAAATTGATATTAGCGACAAAATCGCAATCACTTTTTTTCAGTTTACTTACCCTTTAAGGCTACAACAATGTTTAGTTTGCCTCTGATATATTCTTCACCAACATACTAACGTTAGTGAACATGGACGGATGATCGACATTTTTCACGAATAGATAGCAAATGTAATGGCTAAATGTGGCTAAATACCGTTCAACGTCTCCAGGTACATCTTAACGAAGCAAGCCATAAAAAGTAGCAAAGGAGCCACAATAATCAATACTTCTTATTGATTCCATTCTTATACACAGTAATCGTATATGAGATGATGTTAGACAAGTTTATACTAACAAAGTAAAGTAACAGTGTGTACTTATATTCTAACAACAAAATATAGTTATAGCTAGAAAATGTGTCACTGGTTGACTGATCCCTGTGACCCATGAAGCGGTGACTCTTAGTTACTGTAGACATGGATGGCAGAGGTGCGATGCAGGTGAGTGTATCCATGGTTATTTGCCCTTAAATCAGATTGAAACAAATGCGTAGAGGTTAAGTCAGTTTTGACTTCACAAAAGGTTGACAGGGAAACAGGCGTGATACAGGTGAGGATACTTAGTCAGTGGCGTCCGTCGAGGACCGATGAGATACAGGCGAGTAGATTCAATCATTAGGTTGTTTTCTGACTGTAGACCAGTGTGGCAGGGAGACAGGTGTCATACAGTTGAGGATATTCAGTCAGGATATGCTCACTTGCAATTCATAAACATAATAATCATTATTACCTACGAGGGCAAACATAATGGGGTCATATCACGTCACGAGACAACAGTGTATTGTTTCCGTCATCCGGACGATATTGTTGACGTCATTCGAATCTTATTGTGACGTGAGGTCGGAAAGACGTCACACAAGAAGGGACCTCATAGGTGAAGATTGTTGACGCCATTCGACAAATTGCGGTTCTTTTGCGACTTGCTGTCCTTGTAGGTTAACACTAAAATGTGTCTCTGTATGTCAACATCTTCTTCGGTAATAACTAGAACATTATATTCGTGTTCATGCCATACTATGTTTACGATACTCGTCCCTAAATTCGCTCCCGCTCGGGAAATGCCGAAATTTAGACAATCGTATCGTAAACATAGAACAGATCACAGAAACACAACACAGAAGAAAGTGTTGGCTGTAGTTGCACTGTCAAAGTAAAGTCAAAGATATGTATTGTATTTACAACCTCCAGCCCATATACATTGGAAATAGATAAAAGTACAGAGTTTTATACACTCGAAAACATCTCTATGTTCGTTTCTAAGACAAATGTTTGACATATATAGCCAGTTGCAATATGAAAACATCTTCTTTTGAAGAGATGAAAAGAATTTTAAAACCAGGAACATCATGCCTTAACAGATGGCGTTCTGATATGAACTTATTTCTTAGATCACACAATGTGAACCTCTTCAATGTTTCACTAGACTTTTTCTTTTGCCCTTGCCTCTACGGTGGAAAGGATTGATATTTTGGCGCTACACTGTAATCAAATGCATACGTCAAAGTATGAAAATTTTGACTGCCAAACAATGAGATAAAAAAGATAAAAACTGTAGAACATGAGAGGTCACAAAGCCAATCACAGTTTGGCAGGAATTGGACAAGCTTCATGAACAACAGCACAAACACTTATTTTTAATGAACTAGTTTTGAATTATCTACCCTTAGTCGCAGGACCAATTAGTACGGTATTTTCAATATGACCTCGTCCTCGTTGATCCACATGTTCACGACTGGGTTATAGTTGGTACACACAACACTGGTGTTAATAATAAAACGCAGATCGATTACATTCTGGTTTGGAGTCCTAAAAATATGAAGAACAACTACGAAAGGGATTCTGCCTTTTCACTTGAAACCATACAAATGTTCATATACATTTTTTATTGAGTTCATGACATCAATGTTCAAACACGATGTTGAATATTATTTAACCATCGTATGATGCGTTGCCTGCTGATGGCTTTCGTTTGAGATTAATAGGAATTAGGGTGATAAAAACAATAACCATTTAGAAAACATTGTCTCAAATGTCATTCTGTTTTAGATGTGTTAAATAACATTATAGCAAATAATAGCAATGAAAAACTAGCAATGACTTTTTGTTATGTGTTTATGACTTCGTGATTGCCCCACAGTGTGCTCAAATGGAATTTATGGACAGAAGTGCAGCAACTACTGCACTGACAGGAAATGTGAAGGAGGATCACCATGTGATCACGTTCGAGGGACTTGTGTTTCCGGGTGTGAGCCAGGGTGGATTGATGAAGACTGTAGGGGAGGTGAGTATCTGAATGGTACATGTGTACTTCACATTCAATAGCGATATTAACCTATAAATTCTGTAATCGTACCAGGAACGCTTGTGAATGACAAAACGTAACTTTACAATACACTGATGTACTCAAACTGTTTATACATAAGTTGAGGTTTGAACTATGATTCAGATGATTAAACCAACATTCATTATAATTTATTATTTATACCTTCAAAAAGGAACCTAGTATTACCTGCTCAAAACAATGTGTATTGTGTTGCGACCATTATTTTTAGCAAGAACACGTTTATTTATTTGTTTGTTGTGTAACCCTGCAATGAGCAATAAGTCACGAGAGATTGTTGGAACAACCTCCCACGTTTGCACGCATCTTTACAATACGATCTGAGCCAACTCGTACGACAAGCATTGATTGCTTTAAACTTGTCACGAGAGGAATACTTTAACTGTACAAAAGTACAGGCATAGACTGTTACAGTTATTCGGAAAAGATCAGTTTCGGTCAAACGTTGTTGAATTACTGCGAACACTTCAATAGACCCGTTTGGCGTCGTATTCTTTCAATTGCAAAGCGTTTTTATCATCAGTCATTAAGAGCATAAACACAATCAAATGCTTGTGTCTCACGTTGTCATACCAACAATAACCTTGTAAGCTAGTATTCATATATGTTTATGTCCGTTAACTGAATAATAACCACATGGTAAGACACTTTTTTTTAGTATGAGCCATTCAGGAATACAATCGCTTAGAAACTCGAATAAGTGGGGGAGCGCATAAGAACACCATTGGGATTTGTTGTCAGCATTGAAACCGCTTAATCACCACTGGACCCGTGGAGATCCGGGGTTAGATTAGGTCTTTAGCAGCCCATGCTTGCCATAAGGAGGCGACTAAGCTTGTCGTAAGAGAATATTCATATCGTCTTTGTAGTTGCTATATCGCTGGAAAAGTGCCGATGCGACAGTCAATGTTAACTCACTCATAAAGGATAGTCGTTACGTTGAAACAAACAAACCTCAAACGAAAGCCATCAGCAGGCATCAGCTAATGATACGATGGTTAAATGCTTTTTGATATGACATTTGGACGGATAGGTTTTGTTTCATGATAAACTTTATATCAGGTTGGATCTGTCAGTACATTATTGATGTGCATTTAAGATCACTTGAATATTAAGTGTATTATATGGAATAGTAAGTCACTGCGGTCCCTAACTTGTCGGCTTTGAATATTCTCAATGGTGATTAGGTTTGGTTGTTTGGTCGTTGTTTTTTCTTTAAGTCACATTCAGTAATATTCCAGCTATATGATGGCGGTCTGTAAATAATCGAGTCTGGTCCAGACAATCCAGTGATTGGCATCACGCGCATCGATCTACATAATTGGGATACAATGACATGTATAAACCAAGTCGGCGAGCCTGACCACCCGATCCCGTTAGTTGCCTCTTACGACAAGTATAGTGTTTGTATGATAGCAATGGCAAAACAAATTGGGTAACCGACTTAAGGAACCTGCTGAATAATTGTGGTTTGGGTTACATTTTTAAATTAGAACATATTGCTTATCCGAAGTTGTTCATAAATGCTATTACACTAAGATTAAAAGATTTATATTTTCAGTCATGGAATGCAACTCTAACGCGTTCACCAAAGTCCCTGTTAAATAGCAGTTTCAAGTCATATATCATTGCAGGGCAATACCTTTTCAGTGTTAGTCTTAGAAAATTTAGGGAAGCACTTGCAAGATTCCGATGTTCATCGCACGATCTTTTATTTGAAAAAGGTAGATATTAAAATATTCCGAGAGAAAAAAGACTCTGTCCGCTATGTGACCTAGGATTAATTGAGGACGAGTATCACTTTTAACTAGTATGTCCGCATTATGATGAACTAAGAAAAGTATATTTACCAAAATATTTTCATATAAACCATTGTACATTTAAGTTTAAACTATTACTGACCACTAGCAACATTGAAACCATAAGAAATCTTTCTATGTACATATATCATGCTTTTATACAAAGAAAATCAAGTTTGGAAATTATATGATTGTAGCAATTGCTCCTGTAATCATGATTGTACTATAGGCCTGTTGCCTCCCCAGTACGTTGAATAAAGAAATTGAATTGACTAGTACAGTCGCCTTTTACGGCAAGGATGGGTTGCTTTCGTTTGAGATTAATGGGACAGATTGTTCATACATTTAAACAATAACTACTTAGAAAAATATTATCTCTAGTGTTTTATCAAACCTTGGCGATGGCATGGACACATTTATTTTTATACCGGTGTTAAAAAACATTTAGGATTTGAATTAAGACAAGTGATCATAAGACAAATTAGCAATGACTTGTTGTAATGTGTTTGTAACTTTGTGATTTCTTCACAGCATGCTCAAGTGGAAGTTATGGACAGAACTGCAGCAACTCTTGTGCTGACAGGAAGTGTACAGGAGACTCGCCATGTGATCACATAAGCGGGACATGTGTTTCCGGGTGTGAGCCAGGGTGGATTGGTGAAGACTGCAGTGAAGGTGATTATCGTTGTTTTACATTTTGAGTTTGCCACTGCAATATATATCAAAAACGACTATCCTTTATGAGGGAGTTAACATTGACTGTCGCATCGATACTTTTCAGCGATATAGCAACTACAAAGACGATATGATATTCTCTGTTCATATCTTTGATAGTGTAAAACATATGTGACTAGTTAATTAGCAAATTAACATGTTGTTTTTACTTCTAAAGTAAAGTATGAATTGGTTTTAATGGCTTGTGAAAATTCTTTTTTTAAACTAGTGTGTCTCTCTCACTGATATGTCATAAGCCTGTGGGAGAAATACGATGTACTCTAGAAGCTGTGCCTGTTTGAAACTATAGCAATTTGTTTTCATTTTCTATTTTTCTATTCGTTAGATACGTACATATCATATTCAAGTATAGTCGCCTTTTACGGCAAGCATGGGTTGCTTTTGTTTGAGATTAATGGGACAGATTGTTCATACATTTAAACAATAACTACTTAGAAAAATATTATCTCTAGTGTTATCCTGTTTTATCAAACCTTAGCGATGGCATGGGTACATTTACTTTTATACCAGTGTTAAAAATCATTTAGGATTTGAATTAAGACAAGTGATCATAAGACAAATTAGCAATGACTTTTTGTAATGTGTTTGTAACTTTGTGATTTCTTCACAGCATGCTCAAGTGGAAGTTATGGACAGAACTGCAGCAACTCTTGTACTGACAGGAAGTGTACAGGAGACTCGCCATGTGATCACATTAGAGGGACATGTGTTTCCGGGTGTGAGCCAGGGTGGATTGGTGAAGACTGCAGTGAAGGTGATTATCGTTGTTTTACATTTTGAGTTTAACACTGCAGTATATATCAAAAGCGACTATCCTTTATGAGGGAGTTAACATTGACTGTCAAATCGGCACTTTTCCAGCGATATAGCAACTACAAAGACGATATGAATATTCTCTGTTCATATCTTTGATAGTGTAAAACATATGTGACTAGTTAATTAGCAAATTAACATGTTGTTTTTACTTCTAAAGTAAAGTATGAATTGGTTTTAATGGCTTGTGAAAATTGTTTTTTTAAACTAGAGTGTCTCTCTCACTGATATGTCATAAGCCTGTGGGAGAAATACGATATACTCTAGAAGCTGTGCCTGTTTGAAACTATAGCAATTTGTTTTCATTTTCTATTTTTCTATTCGTTAGATACTTACATATCATATTCAAGTATAGTCGCCTTTTACGGCAAGCATGGGTTGCTTTTGTTTGAGATTAATGGGACAGATTGTTCATACATTTAAACAATAACTACTTAGAAAAATATTATCTCTAGTGTTATCCTGTTTTATCAAACCTTGGCGATGGCATGGACACATTTATTTTTATACCAGTGTTAAAAAACATTTAGGATTTGAATTAAGATAAGTGATCATAAGACAAATTAGCAATGACTTGTTGTAATGTGTTTGTAACTTTGTGATTTCTCCACAGCATGCTCAAGTGGAAGTTATGGACAGAACTGCAGCAACTCTTGTGCTGACAGGAAGTGTACAGGAGACTCGCCATGTGATCACATAAGCGGGACATGTGTTTCCGGGTGTGAGCCAGGGTGGATTGGTGAAGACTGCAGTGAAGGTGATTATCGTTGTTTTACATTTTGAGTTTAACACTGCAATATATATCAAAAACGACTATCCTTTATGAGGGAGTTAAGATTGACTGTCAAGTCGGCACTTTTCCAGCGATATAGCAACTACAAAGACGATATGAATATTCTCTGTTCATATCTTTGATAGTGTAAAACATATGTGACTAGTTAATTAGCAAACTAACATGTTGTTTCCTCACATAATACTATAAAATAATTCCAAATTATTGAATACCATCAATGCTACAAATATGCTGACACGGTGACCTGTAACGGTGTTACTTCTAAAGTAAAGTATGAATTGGTTTTAATTGGCATGTGAAAAAAAATAATTAAACTAGAGTGTCCTTCTCACTGATATGTCATAAGCCTGTGGGAGAAATACGATGTACACTACTGCCTAGAAGTTCATTCCCCTTACACGCATGGGCAACGCGTTACGCAACCAGTGTGCATCGGGTTGGTCACGCGTGTGAGACCCGTGTGCAACGCGTTGCACACGGGTGTGCACCCCGTCCGCCACTCGTGTGCAACGCGTGACACACTCATTAGAGGGGGAACAAACTTTTGACCAAAGGAGGACCCGTCTTAAGCTGAACCTGGAGGTGGTAACAAGGAGAGAAAATTGTGTTATCCTGACGAAAAATGATAATACACATGTATTTCCTAATGTCTCCTTTCTTTATGTGATTTTGTGGGAATAACATGAATACTGTTGCGATTAAATAGATCTGTTTTGTTTTATACGACCATTGCTTCTAAATCCGATGGTGTTAATTAAGAGAATACATGGTCCTGGAACATGTTATTGCAATTGAAATGCTTTTATTGTGATTTGACATTAACCGTCTGTAGTACGACTTTCAGTGATAATATGTATGAGGTTTGGCGGCGCATTGTTTTTATTGGACCCTGATTACTTTATGATGACTTGGACTCTTTATCACAGCTCCATAGCCGTGAGGCTGGAAAAGAGCAGCATGTAATTAATGAGGGTGGGTTATATCATTGAGGATACACTTGAGGGAGAGAATACTAATTACCGTACTACAGGAAGAGACCTGTAGACGTAAGCGCGGGGTTGTGTTTTAGCTGGCCGTTTGATAATGGCCGCCAGGAGAAGTGAGCTTTGCCTGCATCATGTAAAATAAATAATAAGATACAGCAGTGTTATTTTCACGGTCTGTTGAATAAACTCCCAGCGCAACGGTCAATGTATCTTCTACTTGATCCTTGATACATCATTTTGTCTTTCACAATATATAGTATTTCAACGTACAAAGGACACTGATCTAAAGCAATTCCTTGGGAGTAGTTGTTACCTGAGCATTACTGTATTTTCCCAGTGAGTACCCGGATGATATAGCAGAAATCTAGACTTGTTCGCGACCTGTGCTCGCCATTCGTAAGCGCATTTTAATTGAAAGTAGAAGGACGTATGGTCACACTGATCAACAAAAATGAAATACAGTTTTTGAAATGTAGGTATATTTGTGGGGAGCATCGGTAATGGTGATGCAGTTTTGATAAGTCACTTGCTTAGTAATTGTGCAATCTTCGTGTACACTATTTTGACTTGCAACACAGAGTAAATATTTCACTGAACATTGCTTATTTTACCGTGTGTATATGTTTACATTCAAAATGTAAACAGATTTCACTAAGGAAATGTATTAAAACGCCTAAATATTCAGTTTATTTCACAAATTAACTGAAAAATATGTCCATCTTTATTAATATGATAACGAATTCCAAATATGTTTAATACCATCACCAAGTACAGTTCTGTATTGTTTGGCTTCTTTTCTTAGCATAATTAATATATTGTGATGTGTTTAAGCTCTCTTGGTCGTCTTTATCATTTTTAGTCAGTCGGTTAAATAAATGAATGGATTATTCAGTCAATTTGTAAAATGACTGAAATATTTAGATATTTAATAAATTGCCTGAGTGAATCATATTTTACACATTGACTGTAACATATACACGCTTACAAAAGAAAATACTTGTGAAAACACCGTCTATCGCGCATCGAAAAACTTCCCAACCAAACGGAAAGGAACAAGAATGATTCTGTTCAAAGCTGCAGCGAATGAATGAAAACAAAATGCAAATATCATTATAACAACCTACCAAAGTTATAATGTATCCGGGAATATCAACATACAGGAACAATATCCATTGCGTCTGCAGCTGTACAAAAATACTTATTCGATGTAAAATGTCTATGTGAGAATCAAATACTTTAATAATAATTATTTGGAAACAATATTTGGAAACAATATTTGGAATATATATGAAATATATTAAAATATTTAAATATATCGTTTTTAAACGTTATTTAAATGTATCGAATAGTATAACCCGTGTTTGTTTCTTAACTGATCACTTATTTTGTTTCAATTGTTTCACATAGGTGCCAAGTTAGCTGAGAAAGCCCACGTGACAACTATTTTTATAATGTCCACGGTTCTTAAAAACATACATTGAGTTAGATAACAATGAACAACTAGTCAGTGTATTATCGGTTACCCTTTGAACAAAGTACATTCGATGGTCCTTCAGCATCAACATTGTCGAGGTGTAATTTCATTTGTTTCTTATAATAAAGCTTGAAATTCTTTATGATCCTGGCATCTAGTGTTAATTGTTAAAGTTAATCTCTGCAGCCGGTGCGTGTCAAAACACGGGGTTGTGTACTCGCGGGCAGATGACCACGGAGTACGCTGACCACTGTGTCTGATTAACGAGACTGATTAATGAGTGATTTCAGTAATTCGTTGCAAATTAGGTGTGTCGGAGTCGGAGTGCGAGAATGTCGGATTAACGGGACTAAATAGCGCTGAATCAATCGGTTCCCATCATTTGTGTCGGATAAAGCCGAGCGTCGGATTAACGAGTGTCGGATTAACGAGACTTGACTGTATGTTGTTTTTACATCTGTACTTCACGCCATGATATGAGTATTCCCTAGGTTAAGTAACCCTACCTTCACCTGTAAACACTTACTTTTGACGTATCCACTGTGCAAGATAACAGTAATTAATCAATCAACGTATTTCCTGTTGATCCTTTGATGTCTGGGAATGATCAGTTGATTTACAAAAAAAGTAAAGCAACTGATCATACATCACATGCTGGGCTGCGACGTGCATAACTCACATTCCACCTCACTTCAAACCTGGATTTAGATTAAATAATTACCCCACGTACAAGAAAGACCAAATTTGAACCTTTATCGGGTAATCTGAGTTGTGCTACAACTAAGTATACATGTTATAAATTCATTAACTGAGCAGCAAGTGAATTACGACAAATACACAAGTGTAGGGTTATACCAGAAAATGTGGATGACAACAAGGGAGTAGTAATTGTATCATCCACGCAATCCGAAATCCGCAAATGCTTTCACTCAGGGATACTTTTTTATTATCAAACTGTAACAATCAGGGGTATTTCCAAATGACGACATCCGATGAGCTTTCGCCGTTATTTGTCTGTTTGTTTAGGCTGAAGAAATTAATTACCATGCGCCCTTTGTTGAAATCTTCATAGATCACGGGTAACCAATCAGTTTTCAAAAATGCGTAAGTTTATTTAGCTGTCCTTGCAGACTGGTAGCCCAGTCTCTTGTCACGCTCGGTTGCGTTAACGAGCAAATTGACTCACGGCAGCTAGTAAGCCCAAGCGGAAATCCAAAGGTCGTGCTACCTGAAGAATCAACCTTCATTTGCGAAATATCTACTGCTCTCAAAATCAATATTTCTCCCAATACTAAAAGTCAGAACTTTCTAACCAAGGAGTACCAGTTGAAACTGGTCGATGGCTGAACATTCCCAGGGAAGACAACCAGTGTCCACTCTGTGATTCTATCGCCGTGGGAGATGAATTGCATTACATCCGATGTGAAGCTTTTCACCAACGGCGATATGAACTCTTAAATAAGCAATATCTTAAGTTTCCAAACATTTAAGAAAATTATGACCACTAACAGTGTAAGAAATCTTAAAGGCCTATCTAAATTCCTTAACAATGTGTACAATACAATTGGTAAATTGTATTAGTATCCACGTATCCTATTTTTATTAAATTGTACATAATAAAAATTGTAGATAGAGTTTGAGTCCGACACCCGAGAAGAAGCCAGAGATTAGTGCCCCTTTTTGAATAGTTTACAATCATGTGTTTTACCGTTAGCTCTGTTGGCTTAAACGTATTTTTATTTCAAAAGAAATCTGTATCGGTAAAAAAGCAAAACATGCTTATGTAATACCTCTCCAGGTAACAACTTAACAACCGCTGGATATATATAAGAGAGTGATGAACATAAACATGCACAAATGAAAGCAAGCAAGTGGTGTCTTTGAAATAAGGTAATGCAGTTTTCCTTTACTACATGCATAAACTTAAGCTACTCAAACCTTTTGCTTTTGACAATGATGTCATGAACTGATTTAAGAAGAGTCATGTTTGTAGAACTGCTTAACTACTGCCATGTAATATAATTTTTAGACCATACCCATGTGTGTAGAAATACACAGTGTTTCTGATATTATCGTATTTTTTAACAGTTATAGAAAAAGTGAATTGCATCTTCAAGGTGATATCCACAAGTGCAGTCTGGTATGTCTGATACATGTCGTCTAAACTTATCAGCGTTTAAGTCACTGCAGCCGAGCCTAAGGCGACAGTGGACAATTTGGCATGATCTATGAAAATATTTGAAGTCAAAATTATTAATAATTGCATCAGAACGATTAATTAAGGATTTGATTTCTTTTAATGAGCGAGCATTAGTTACTTCATCGGATAGAGGGTTCCGCAGGTTGATCATATCCAGAAAAAATGATAATAAGCATAGGACTGTGTTCTACATTTGATTGTTTGTATGTTGAATCTTTTCCTAAGGTTATATTTCCTGTTATCAGAGAATTGAATATACACTTTTCAAATAATTTGGCTAAGCAACTTGTGAGTGCTACAAGTCTATAATTTGAGCATTCATGTTCATCGCTGACACTGACACCGCATCAGCCCGGCAGTGGACTTGACACAATTATTTGCGCACCGATTATATAACTCCTACAGACAGGTGGGGTGGTTGTTCAAAGCGAAACGGACGACCCCGTCTGTTATCTAATAAATGCTGTGCGGCGCCTTTGATCTTGCCTCCAACCATACACCTTATAGTAGTAAACGACGATCAGGATGGCCTGGAAATAAACACAATTCTGTCTGCCCGGTGCATCCACAATTAACTAGAATGCTTCATATCTACAAATATATATAGAAAATAGATTGCACTTCTTTATTTAATCATTACCCTTTTTTACCCTAATAGTACAAGTGCTTCCCCGTGTGCGAGATAGGCTTAAGTCGGAAAGCGCACGTTATATCTCCGAGGTACCTATCTACCAGAACCCTATTTGCTGTTCTGGCCATACATAAATATATGTAAGTTACGTACATGGGGAGGCTAGATTATTTACAGCTTACAGCAATATAGTGCAAATATTATGTTCAATAAAAGAAAACGTTGATAGATCTATAACACACTTTTTGTACTATTAAACCAACTGTGGACTTTTAAGACATTTTCGCTTATTGTAATAACATCTAGCTAACCAATCATGTCTATCTCTGAAATCCACAAGCATAGTGGCTGTCAAACCTAAAAAACATATTCAGGGAGGTCAGTTTTGATTTGCCAAGCACCTTAAGGTGAGTTTATTTTCAACTGTCAAAAGCGATTGTCCCTTCAATACTAGTATATGTCTGGAAGCTGTCTCTCGGACTGTTATGGGTTATGATGTATTTTATGATATAACTGGGGAATGTTCAAATTAGTTACTGTCGTTTAATCCAACGTTCTAACTGTCAACTGTCTCAACAGGATCATAGGTTTGGTTATATATCTCCTCCCTGTCTCTATGTCTTAAGTTGTTAATCGGTAACTGCGGTCCAAATGTATCAACTTATTCATCTATTGTTGCAAACTTGACTGATTTAAACATATCTTATTGATCATGAACTACTCAGTCAGTCAAGCACCTGTATCAGAAATGTAAAACCAGCCATGTTTCATGTAGTCCCAATATCACTGAAAAATGCCGATGTAACGTGACAAATAAATTTACTCACAGGCAATATATTTTTCGTGAGAGTGAAGCACAATTTTATTAAAGTTTTATTAACAATTTCATAAACTATAATAATATTAATATTAAAATTCATCATCACTTGCCAAGTTTATGAAAATGTCCCCATTTGGGAGATGTCACATATAAACAAGGATTCGAAATAAGTTTGATCGTCTTTGACACTGAGGTTTATCCCCACTTTGCCAGCAAACTGCAGAAGATTAACAGTGAGTGAGTGAGCATCGTTTCTATGTTTATACAAGAAAAGATGTCATGCCAAAAACGCTCACAGTAGTTAGTAAGTAAACTCACGACCTGTCATGACCTGGTTGAGTGACTTCCTCAAATGAACGTGAAAGGATTACCCACAGAGAAAGAAAGGATTAAAGTCACCCATAAATCTTATCCTAACGTAGTACTCCAACTTCTAAATGCCTCTCAAAGAAGGATTAAAATCCTAAAGATATCCTATCTACGTGGTATAGGTACTCACAACCTCTAATAATAAACTGTTACGTTTGGTATCCCCAGCAATACTGAGAGAGAGAGAGAGAATATTGTTTATTAAAGTGTCACATGTTATATACACTTCGTAATACGATATATACAAAACAGTAAAATATAACATCCGGCCAAATATGACCTACGAGACACTATAAAACATATCAATCATAAAACTATTCAGTTGAAACAGAATAAAACATACATACCTCGTGATGCAGGCGCGGAGCACGGCCGTGGGCGGTTTCAGTGAAGAGCGCACCAGTATGCCAGGATACAGGGCAACTGACTTCGAAAGTCCTTAGTTAAACAGTGCGCTCCCCCTTAACTCCCCCCACAGCGTTGCGCCGCCCACACACCACGTCATACATACATACATACATACATACATACATACATACATACATACATACATACATACATACATACATACATACATACATACATACATACATACATACATACATACATACATACATACATACATACATACATACATACAAGTCATACATACATACTTGGCTTAAAATGAAATTGCCTTCTTTTAACCATGTTGTAAATTGATTTGGCTAAAATACATTGGAGCGATTCTTCGTTCATAATAAAAATAAACTTTTCTAAACTACTCATATAATGAAATGTTTTATCTACAGAAGTTGCTTCTTTAGCTAAGTTGTATCTTAAATCATCATAAAATGGACATTCTATTAAAAAGTGACATTCATCTTCAACATAATTTACATGATCATTAGTAGGATTGGCGTGACAATATTTACAAGTCCTATCCAACAGTGGGGTAGGTGGCTTGGCGTAGCGGCCGGTCTCAACATGTAAAGGTAAAATACCACATCGAAAGGATGCTAAAAGTCTTCGATGATCTCTAAAACGTACATGACATAAATAAGGCTCAGCAGTAGGTGATGATTTGTACATTCTGTATGTGCGTAATTTATTGCCATTTGGATTATTCTTGTCATTCCATAGCGCAGTATACCACATATCACAATCTTCAGCAGTTAAGAAACACTTTACACGGTCAACACACTGTTTAATGCTGTATCCACAATAAGGTAAATTTGACAAATTATAGTGAGCTAAAATGTTTACGATTTTTTTATCCCAGGATTGTGATCGGATTTTGGACCAATTATGAATGATAAGAGGGAGATGATGGGCCTGCATATTCTGAATTCTAAAATATAATCTAAAGCATTCAACGTGCTGTGACACTTTCACAGAACACCAGCCCATGTCCCCCCTCATAGCAGTAACTGGGGCATTTTTTCTTACGCCTAGAAACAAACGACAAGCCTTATTTTGAATTATTTCTACTTCCTTATACTTATTCAAACCCCAAATGCTCAATACTCACTATGGTAATTGGGCAAATGTAAAAATCACAAACCCTAACGAGATTCTGTCTACATGGTCACACCCGGTGATTGTGAAGATCTCAAATTTTATCAACTGTCAGACAGCATGGCTGTTCATATTCATTTACAACATCCTCTTATAATTAGTATAAAAGTGTCCCACACAAAACCTTCTTTTATTTATTTTTCAAAATACAACACAGAAAGTTGGATGTGGGGAAATGGGACATATTCCTACGTGAAATAATAAGACATTAGTAGTGGTGACGGCTATGTCATAATTGAACTGTAAAAAGCATAAATTTGGCGAACGAAAAACGTTATATTTGCAATCAAATGGAATGACTCGTGTGGGCAAATGAATATGTTCGCAATCCACAAACAATTATTTTATTAATGGCGAACATTTACCAACCCGCGACAATCGTGTCAACACGGGGGTTTCTTAGCAATAAACTCGCATCTAAATTCACTACTGTTCTACTGTCGGCTAGCCACAATGGCTAGACTGGACCCTAGTGGAATGGTTCATGCCATAAAAGTCTAGCAACCGAACACTAATTAAGATGGGCCGACCTTGTATTTACGGTCTGGTGAACACAGCTCAATGGCCGCTCATTAACTCAAATTTCACATCTCACTGTTTTGTTTTATTTCACTATTCATTTGATAAATTTGTCAACTTCAACTGGAACCCGGTCCCGTGTTACACGCGTGGCACACGCGTGTGCAACGGGTTGCACACGCGATTCACACCCGTTGGACACGGGTGTGCAACGGGTGTGAATCGCGTGTGCAACCCGTTGAGCACCCGTGGCACATGCGTGTTACACGCGTTCTCAACGCGTGTTAGGGGAATGAACTTTTAGGCAGTAGTGTACTCTAGAAGCTGTGCCTGTTTAAAACTATAGCATTTTTTTCATTTTCTATTTTTCTATTCGTTAGATACATATCATATTCGTTACGTATTCTTCTTATATTCTATTCTATAATGTTACAGCTTGTGATAAAGAACATTACGGAGCTAACTGTAAGAAGACTTGTGCCTCCAGACAGTGTGTGGGGAACTCTTCCTGTAACTCAACAGGGGACTGTGACACTGGGTGTGAGACGGGGTGGACAGGAGCGGACTGTACAGGTAACTATGTTATATTAACTGTAAATATGTATGCATAATTATCTCTCGCCCTAAAAACCGTACCTACTGAAAACGGAAAAGGAGGAAAATTAATTTCTTATAGTGTCGGATTGCTGTTGGTTTGTTGTTTAATGCTGCACTCAGAAGCATTCAAGCTATATGACGACCGCCTGTAAATAATGGTCTGAATCAGAACCCTTACGACAAAACCCTCACGTTTCCATATTCATAAGAAGTCTCTGCCAAAAGCAGAGTCGATTGCACAATTCCGACCATATCATGAACATGTGTCCATGAATCACAATCAAGTAGTGATGATACCAGGTGTTCGCGAAAACCTGGCCCAACGGTGGCGCCCATCACAAACACATGCGAAATCATGTCAATTGTTCACCTGATAAATAAAGCGACAAAATCCTTTTCATATGCAACAGAAATCTCTGCATAAAGCAGAGTCGATTGTACGATTCCGACCATACCATGAGCATGTTTTCTGAATCACTATAAAACAGTTATGATACAAGTGTTTCGCGAAAAGGAGAGTGTATCCTGTCCCACCGGTTGCACCCGTCACAATCACATGCAAAGGGAATCAATTGTTCATCTGAAAACACAGGAACATATGGTATAAGTCAAAATAAGGAACTGCATCAGACATCATTTTTGTCACTGATGCGTCAAATTTGGAAATGTCCTCCGCGTGTCTACAAAACTTTGTGAAAGCTTTACTGAGGCCTTGAATGTTGTAACCTTGATCAAACAACTTCTGAGCAATAGTCGTATGCCGCTCTTTGAAATCTTGGTTGAAAGAGCATGCTCGATCGTATCTCGAAAGTTGTGAACTGTAAACACCAAAGGCTGGAGCTGCTGGAATATTGCTCGACATGAAGGCAAAGTGACTATTGGAAAGTTGAAGTCATCCCTCTTGTCATTCAGTCTTATGGAGAGTGTTTTGTCATTATGAATCTTTATCCATAAATATAAATATGAAACAGGTGAAGCAGTCTTACTGGTCTCCTTTATTTCTAGTTCAGGTGGGTAAATCAGTGGAAGGGAAATGGCTTTTTGGAGTTTATTGAACGATATCAGATCCTCGATATACCTGAAGCTTAAGTTAAACTTCTTGGCCAAATTACCTTGTTTTGAAGCATGTCTTAGTCTGTCGCCTGCTTTGAAGAATTTTTAATCACATGATGTTTGCATTTGTCTCTGCTTTACAAGTAGAATGCAATGTAGATTTATTAACATATATTTGTGTTTCTTCGTTTATTTTGTGTGTATTATACCCAAGCTTCTACATCCCCGGCTGTGCCTGTCGCGGCAGTTGGTGGTGCTGTGGCCGGCCTTGTCCTGTTGGTCCTGGTGCTGGTCCTCCTCATCATCATCAGGTCAGTTTCACCCGCCTGGAAACAATGAACTAAATTGCTCATCTAAGTGTAAATTTCATACTGGTGACCATGTGGTTTAACTTATAGGAGGAGAAGAAACAGAGGGAATAAGTCTCCTGATGGACCAGTATTTGGTGAGACGTCCCCTAGGAATAGAAAGCTCCAAGGTAACGATATGTTTATTATCTAGCTTATGCATTATAGCTATATTTGCTTGATTTTCGATTAATATATTTTAGTTAGATTGCAGATGATACTGTTCTACAGTCGTAGTAATGCAGAACAAGAAAATAATATACCATCGTTCAGAGCATAGGTTTGTTTTAAGAGGTGGCGCCGATTGGCTTACACACAACTTTCAAACGTGGTAGGTTAGTGTCAATATTATAGCTGAAATGGTTTATCATGGTGTTACATGTGTTCTTTCATATAATCTTCAGAAAGAAGTTACTCTTCTGCTGTTCATTGTTTCAGGAACTGATGACGTTTACATGAATGTTGGTTTTGAGGAGAATGAATCCGTGCTCAAGAAAAAACAAACTCTGACTATTGGTGACAAAGATCACGGCCATCCAGAGCATCCTCAGGAAGCTGATTCCCAGAGTGTGGCCAACCAAGAGGAAGAAGACTACGACGCCCATGTTAACATACATCCGAAGGGGGAAGCAGCACCGGGTGTCTCAGGATGTAACTATTACAACTTAGGCGACCTTGGTCACGTGATTCCATTGTCTTCTCTGGAGGCAAGAGTACGTGAAATTGAAAATCATCCCCAAGAGGCATTCGAGGTAAAGTGGTGTTTTACGGAACGTCCAATTATCAGTCCTCTTCCTCAAACCAGTGTAGAATGTTGACAAGGATAACGATAATACACGAGTAAGTGCAGGTCATTTGTTTCTGAGTCCAAATATTAAACAAATGACAACTAATCCCATGCTGATAAATGCATAGATGATTATAATTGTTATGGTACGAAATGTTTTATAGGTTCTTTTCAGTTGACGTTTTTTGTGAACAGTGTTTTCATCAAATTCTTTTCAGTTTTGACAAGATCACGGATTTTGTGAACAATATTTTCAGCAAGTTCTTATCACTTTTGCCCAAATGACGGTGTTTGTGAATAGTTACTCTGTATGTCTTAGCGCTTGCCAGACGGATTTGTCCACAGTTACGGAGAATCTCAGAAGGCAGGGAACAAAGGGAAGAACAGATTCAAGGGATACTATCCATGTGAGTATGACAAGACGTGCTTGCCTGTCCTCTTATTAAATATAATATGGCCTCCATAACACGCAATGTTCCATTTCCTAGATGACTACAACCGTGTGGTGTTGCACGACGACAGTGACGGCTGCAGAGGCGACTACATCAACGCCAGCTACCTAGATGTGAGTTTTGATATTATCACTAAAATTACGTGGTTATGACGTTGCTTTCTCGTTCTGGTCCATGTTAAGGTACCGATTCCCATAATACAGTGGTATCATCAGCCCATGCTAAGTAAATGTCCATTCCTCATTCAAGTTAGACGTGAACTTAATACAAAACATTCTAATTATGAATAACATCAGTTTTATCATTTCTCTTTCAGGGATATAAAACTGACAATCGATACATTGCAGCACAAGGTAGTACACATGCCAATTGAATAAACACGATTGATAACAACATTACCATTTTCCAATAAACGTGTGTCAGTCTAGATGTATAGATTCTGTGTCAGGTATCAGTTTTGATATCTCTAACCATAAGGTATATTTTTGTAATCAAATAACAAGTACAGTAGCTGTGTCCTTGTCAGAATGATATTTAAGTAACACTAATAACGCTTTTCCTAGGTCCCTACAAGTCGGACATTGTCGAGGATTTCTGGAGGATGATTTGGCAAGAAGGGTGCACGTCTATTGTCATGGTAACAGGGTTGGTGGAAGCCGGCAAGGTAAGACAAGATTTGTTTGAAGGAACTGAATCATGAGTGGATTGGGAAAAATGTTAAGATGCGATTGTGTGAATTTTGAACTTAAGTGCTAGGGCAAATCTTCAATGCAATATCTCAATAGAGCACATTACTTATTTATAACCTATTTCTATACAGACAATTATTTAATCATGTAATAGAGCACAGCACTGAGCACATTCCCCACATTGGTACGTTGTTTACACTGGTTCACAGGTGAAGTGCCTTCAGTATTGGCCTTCGGAGAAAGGACCAGAGAAGTTTGGTGACGTTATGGTTACGGTGGAAACAGAGACACGACTAGCCAACTACACCATCACCAAGTTGGCTGTTGAGAATGAAAAGGTGGACGTGAATCAGTCTGTACATCCTTGGTCATTAGCATTAGTTATATTTTAAAACATTGGAATCGGGTTTGGAATAGGTGATACAGAACAGAAAAAGAAATAAACATTAGAGTACAGGTACACAGGAAATAACGCAGAGACACATACATGAGTAAAGCGAAAGTATAATGTGTCAATAATTACTGTTGGAACTGTCAAAACGAATTGAAAAAAAACCCACGTGTCATGTAACAATCACTGAATAAATGTAAGCAAAGAATCTTAAGATACAAACATCGAGTTTAGTTCTTTATCATGTAGAGATTTTTAATACAAAACAAGTGTCCATATGTTTAGGTGAGGTGAAATGGGGATTAACGTGTGTGTGTACGTGCGTGCGTGCGTGCGTACGTGTGTGCATGCGTGCGCGTGTGTGTGTGCACTCTTGTGCTATTTCATGGGATACCATGCCGCAGGTTAACATGAATACCCCGCTCAGACACAGTTTACCATACTCCGATTCAACCAGTCCTTGCTTTAGCCCCACTAGGCCACAGAGGCCGTCACTACATTTATAGCTATATTAATATGATTATTCATTTAAAATCATTTAGTATAGCTAAACATAGTTAAGCAGAATAAGCTAAACTTTATAACGCGTATGATATAAGATTACATTGTTTAAATATCCCTTTGGGACGCTTTTGACTTATTTCAGGAAAGCGAGAGACGGGATATCTACCACCTTCACTTCACCAGCTGGCCAGATCATGGTGTGCCGGACACTGCTGCCCTGCTGGACTTCATGTGGAGGGTCAAGGTCATATCTGGACAACAAACAGAGCCGATCATAGTCCACTGCAGGTGAATCACTACACCAGTATATACAAGGGGTGCCTCTGTTGTTATTTCTCTTTATATTTCTATACAACTGATAAGGTTATATCGAAAATGGACCCTTACGTCCGGACATCTGTGTGTGATGCAATTCACTAATTGACTTTGTACCACATGATATTTCTTACGGAAAGGGTTTGTCGATTTTATATACACGTGTGTTTATCAATTGCTCTCATTAATTAAAAATCTTACATTTGTCAATATTAATAATGCTGAAAGCCTTTTTGTAAATACACTCATTCGACCTTCACTGTCCCTAAGATCACGGAACATATCAATCGTAGGCTATTGTATAGATTGAGAAGATGTGGCTGCAGCAGAATTTTACTTCAGACAACGAAACACTTGTTCTTGTCTAATAGTAAGGGACGATTGATCTTCTCCTTACCACATTTGGGGCGGACGTGTAGCCTAGTGGTTAAAGCGTTCGCTCGTCACGCAGAAGGCCCGGGTTTGATTCACGACATGGGTACAATGCTTGAAGCCCATTTCTGGTGTCCCCCGTCGTGATATTGCTTGAATATTGCTAAAAGTGGCGTAAAAGCATACTCACTCACTCACCCACCTTACCACTTTTCGTACGGTTTAGTTGATTTACTGTCTCTTGTACTCAGTGCTGGTATAGGTCGGACAGGGACGTACATCGCTATTGAGTGTCTTGTGGAACAGGCTAAGACAGAGGGCGTTGTGGACGTCGTCAGCTTCGTGTCCAACATGAGAGGGCAGAGGAAGAACATGATTCAGACAAAGGTGATTACATCCAGTTGTGGTTTCTTATTTTCTACTACATATTCTGACACAAGGATCATCAGAAATTGTTTCAATGGAACTTTAAGGAATGCAGATTCAACACTTTGTTTTAATTAACTTAATTATTTTCTCTGTGAATCTGTGTTTCTGTCATAAGATACGATTCACGGTTTTTTTATTGCTAGACACATGTAACTAAACCACAATTCAAAGAAGCGTTACGCCCATTTGTCTCATTTAGGTATTGACTGTAGTTATTATTGAAACACCTCTACACCCCCCAGGAGCAGTACCTGTTCGTGTACCAGGCGGTGGCGAGGGCGGTGACAGAGGGTGACACGTCATTGGATTCTGACGTCATCAGAGAGATGAACCTGGATCACGTGTCAGACTTTGCTATTGGAAATAGGACTGTTCAACAACATATCAAGGCAGGGGTTGAATGTTACATCAATTTTGTTAATCCTCAAATGTTGCAATAACAAATAACATATCATACATGCGTTAGAAAAGGCAAATAACGTATCAAGGGCCGTTAAATATTCAGTAAGATCACTACTACATGCTGAAACCTATTCATTCTTTTGCAGATCTTGCAGAGTGAATTTCAAGGTATGCATACATCCATTACAATATAGCTAATTATATCATTTCATGTCATGATAAATGGTATCCATCTAATTGATAAGAATTGATGACTATGTGTTCAATAAGTTAAAAAAATGTACAAGATATTTTTGTTGTGACGTTGAACACATGGTTTGTCACATTTGATCTTCTTGGTGGACCTAGGCAATGCCATCTCTATTATAAACTGACGTATATTAGAAAGCTCTTAAATTGATTTGTAATTTATAGTATTCAGTATGTTTTCGTGGTAGTTTGTTAAAGGACATTTATGACCACCGCCTTGTCATGCCTGTTTATAGGCTATCGTGACCTACTTTAAAAGTAAACATACATGTTTCGCACAAGTTTTGGACAGACATTGCAGCGCCTTCATGTTTCACTGATGTACCTTCACGCATGTAATTGAACTTAGCGTCACCCTTGTTCTCCAAAGGACTCACTGGCGACATTGATAGCTCTGCGAAAGTTCTTTTAACTAATGGAAAAAACTTATGATGATGGGTTTGAATCAGAGATTCGCCCTGGTTATGTTTCGAGGTCTGTCAGCACCAAACCGGTGCTCGTGGATTTCACCAAATTGATAAAATTTCTAAGACCTGCATTCCTTCGGGCTTTCTTCCCACACCTAGCTGTTACACCGTGATATAACTGAAACACTGTTCTAAGCAATGTCCGAGTATCTCTTAGTCTGCATGTGATTCGCTTCCAGACCAACCTGACGATTCATCCTGTACCAGTAAGTATATACCCCCATATATGGCAGACTTATTGTCAACACAGCTGTCATTGGCGTGCCCAGAAGTAAATCATATCTCATCCAAACTATGTTCTTACTTTTTCACAGAATATATTTTAAACGAAGAAAACAGTGATAAAAATATTGTGTGTGCGTATTTACTCTTCGAATGAAATCTTATTTCCGCTTCAAATTCATCACTTTTCTTCTATATTCCCAGTCATATACATCGCGGAATGGTTTCGTTATCATGACGTCACATCCGAACAAAGAGGAAGTGTGGGAGACACTTTACAATAGTGACTGCCGAAGTCTGTTCACGTACCCTACACGTGATCAGGTTGGTTAAAATATGATAACTGGTGCATGTGTTTTTCATATTATAAGCTATGAAATATTTAATCTTTACGGCGTTCGTTTGGGTGGGGTGAGAGTGGGGGTGGGGGAGGCATGTAGGAATTAAATGCATCAAATAGGGTTTTTTTGTATAGCGTATGAGGATAACTATATTTCTCTGTAAGATAAAGCCAACGGATAAAAGTGGTGTCTTTTAGGTTATTTTCGGGTACATCTGCAAATATATAAGATGGGACACATGCATTTGCTACCTTCATGGTTTACAAACAATCATAGCTTCGCCCTTGTCTATTGCTGATCGAATCGTTATTGACAATCGGAATTCTTGACACATTACTTGATAAGTGTTACCATTCTCAAAATACAAGTCTAAGATACCGAAAATCAGTGTCCAACAAGGGCGTAGCGGAGGTCTTGGAGTTTAAGGAACTCTGTACACATTAATTAATTAATTAATTTTCACATTTTTGCTTGGAGTGATTTCAAGAGTTCAAACAGTTTGATTTGCCTAAAATATTTTACCTTGTTCCATTTTGCAACCTCACTGCATTTGTTAACTTGATGACAAACCAGACAGGACATCGCATAAACTAGAGTAGTAAAGGGCATTTACTCTAGCGGGCGGATAGATGACATTAAAAAATAATAATAGATACGCCACAAGTAAAAGGCACTTGGAGTTGGAAGTTTCAAGTTAGAACTATATTGACGTTGTCATTATCCGATTAACTAATCACTGTCCTTGTGATGGAATATGTTAATGTACACATTCCAGGAAAATTTGCTCTTTTTTAACTACTGCCTGTGAGGGGATAAAAAACCCGTTTTAGGATATATATTTAAGAATGACATTATATGATAAAAAAGGTTATCACGCGTGGCATAATTGTATATTAGGAATAAACTCGTCACATAATACAGGTTATTAGCCATCCCATAGCACACCCGCGTGATCACCTTTATTTACTCTATGACCATGACATAACAGTGTGACAGGGTACATCGTATCTGGAAACAAAACAGACCAACTCACAAATGATTCTCTTTCAGTGTTATCTACCAACAGCTGAAACTTCAGTGACAACCAAGAGGTTCGAAGTGACGGTTTGCAGATCTACCCCATTGTCTGACAACATCTTACTGAACACGGTTGAACTCAAATTAAAGGTACGCCCTGTGATTAAAATAAATAATCCAATTCTGATATAAACCTACACTTTCACATTTAATTGGTAACTAACCTGGGGCATTTCATCTAAACACTGACATCCCTATTACGTGGATGTTGTACTTTACTGGCTTAATCCATTACTTGTTATAATAAAAGAATATTCTGGTGGGACCTGCTCCTTACATCATCTGTGTCAAATTTAGATAAGGTAAGAACGTACAAGCATTCTCTTTGCAAAATCACATTCTACATGTGTTGTTCCAGGATAGTGACGAGGTCACTGTTATGCAACACTCACCACAACACCGGAAGTGCACGTGACGCGGAACTGGATTTGCTCATTGATAGCCTTCTGACATGGACCAATGATCCGGAACGAGTCTGCAGCATGATCATTTCTGAGTAAGTATATACGACACCATCTAAACCCTTGATCACCTCAGGGACATGCCCTTTCTGTAACAAAACAATTACACTGTCACCGAATACATAACATGTCTTGAGCATGACTGTGTATTTCAGCTGTATGAGCGAGTGTCGACTCCTAGTGCTTCTTGTGAACATCGCCAGCAGACTGCAGGACGACGGTAGGGTGGACGTCATCAACAACATGCGACAAATGTTCACACGTCTGGGAGGTCCACCATTCACAGAGGTAAATATCATTATTCAGAATTATTGATACATTCTGCTAACACGTGTCGATCTGAAGATAACACACTCACACCCTTGACCACAAACAGTTGATTCACCCTGAACTGCAACATATGCACGTTATTGGGAACAGTCAATTATCAATAAGGTAAAAACACCACACACACGAGTTCATATTATACCCTGACTATGTCATAATATCATTTAACCTATGATTACAGGCAGACGTGAGACTTTGTTTGGAGTTTACTCAGCGGCGACTGGAGACACTCGGGGTTTATGCCAACACGTGAAATGCACACGAGAACTTTGTTTTTCAATACCAAACACTGTATACAGGAACAGTGTCCTTTGGTATTCAGTATAATTCTAAGCAATGCTGCACAACTTTCGGAGCATATGCTCTTAAGGTGACCAATATTCTTTTCTCTATGATTACATCTTCATCGGCATCACAGCCTAAAAAAATAAAGTATGACTTCGGAGGTTCCATCCGAGTTTCTTAGTATGGGAAATATTTCGTATTATTCCTTTGCTTTTAACATGATTACGCTTCTCTACATGAGAAGAGATTAACTCACGATAAACTATTGACGGCTTTATATTCTGATATGTAGAATTCTTAAAATTCAGGGCACAATTTTGCACATTTTTCAGGTTAAGATATTCTTTGCAGGTCGTAGGCCTTACATTTATTTATTTTTGTTTTCTCAAGTCCGTTTTGTAGCTCAACTGACTGAAAGTCTGATTTGCAATATGTCCGGGTGAAAAATCTATTTATGGCCATTAATCAGTCAATTTCAATCCAATTCTAATTGGTACAGTTGGTAAATGTTTTGTTGGGCTCAACAAATATGTTCCGTTGCAATTCTACCATATTGAATGATGAATCTTTACATGGCCATTACTCAGCCATCTTTGTATTGAAATTTGATATATGTGTAGTTTGTAGTGGTGTTCAATACATGTTCCATTTTTAGCGCTGTTTAATTGAAAACCTGTATTTGACCTTTTACCTTTGACCCAACTACTTAACTCTCAAAATGGAATTCTTTGCACTGTTGAGTAATTGTTTATGTCAGATGTGTACAAATATAATGACATATCTGTAGGGCTTGTTGTGCGATTCAACATGCATATTCTCGGGTTGTTGTTTGCTATTTTTGCAAACTTTAAAACTATGAGCCAAACATGCTTTGATAACATTTCAGAGCAAGGTCAAAAGAAGTTTAACATTTTCATTTATATAGTGAAACACTTTGCAAACGCATATTCGATTGTTTGTAATGGCTAAGAAAATCAATATAACTTGTTCTGTGCATTTATGCATGAGATAACGAAAGACAACAACGTCATCATTCTTTGTCATGCAAGTAAATATTTACAAATACAATCTCTTGACCTTCAAGTAAAAACTGAGATTGCGTTTTCATTGTGTGTCATACAGATTTCAAATAAAACGCTATCAACCAATCATTATCTCGCTATTTATCTCATAATTTGTCTGGTGAGCAAGTTATCCAGTTTTCGTGCTTAATCTCACAAATGTTTAGTGCAGTTTTATATGAGATTTTGATATGTTCATGCAATTATAATTTCAGGTATAAGAAATAAATGCTTTCTTGTCTTTATTATTTTTTACTTTCATTTTCTTTCAACGTTAATCAGTTTTAGCAACATATAGCTGATAGTTACATGTACATATAAAGTTATATAAAAACATGTGTTCGTACTTAGTGTTAACAGTGCTACAGCTGAACGAACACAGTATGTTCTGAGAGCCATTAGTCACTTCAATATTGATTCATGATTTACAGTCTCTGTGACCAAAACACAAGAATGGGAAGATAAAATACAAGTCATAACTGAAAGTAAATATTATTCTTTCTGGTAAAACTGAAAAAACAGCTGATGTCGATGTCAAAATCACACAATCTTAGTTTCTTAAACAAGTTGAATTTAACTTTGGCACACAGCCCTGGAACCATTGATCTGCCATTGGATGTTCTAAATTCGCCAAAATTAGATTAAGGGACAGTTTGAGTTGTTGATTGTATGGTGACATGACATAGGTCCGTAGTAACATGCTTTTGGTTTAGTTTCTTTGTGAAAATTGTCGGACGATCGTTCCGAGATCTCTCGTGTGAAGGTCTTTGATGTCACCTGTTTCTTCATAGGCTTCTGACATCTTCAATGTGAATACAATATGATCACACATCAACTTTCTAATGGATAACAGCTTTTATCCACTGTTTATCATAGCTTGTAGGTTTTACTGACATTACGTCTCCTTCTTTAGGTCTTAAAAAGTACAGGAACACATCGATTGTTGTACATTGCCTGCTGAGTTTTCTACGAGAAAGTCTTTCGGCCAATTTTAGGCACCAAACGTTTGTTTGTAGTAGGAAGCTGGGGTTAAGTTTGGCTTCATTTTGGAACTTTGCCAATCTAACAAAGCACAATGAGATTCACTCTCAGCCCACTGAGATTTCATCAGCAGTCGCTTTGCAGTTTGAACAGTGCACCTCATTTTGCCATTAGATTGGGGGTATCATGGAGATGATGTTATTGTTTAAACTCACAATGTTTGGAAAACCTACTGAATACTTGAGGTGAACCGTTGTCCATCAAAACCTGGTCAGTAAAACCATGCCTTGCCAATTGTGGTTTCAACTTCTGGTTGATATCTGGCAGTACAGCATCGCAAGCCGAAACATCACTGTCTTGTGTCTGGTAGTCACGTCTTAGCATATCAGCTAAGAACATTTGAAATTCATTCCTGTAGATAACCTCAAAGTTACATTTTTGCAGACATTTTGGAGCGGTCAGTAAGCATTTCTGCAAATACACTTGAAAATTGGATTTGACCAAAACGTTACAAATGTTATCATAATGTTACTAGGCTGAAAACAGTCCTCGAAACACTGCAGACTCATACATACAACCCGTTGGTTTGGAAGATCCACGTGAAGCAGTGAAAAATCACCAATCACGTTTGGGAGGGTACACATAAAAATACACGTGCAGATATGGTTCAAAATGCAATGTTGTAATGAAAAAGCACTAACGATTACCAGGTTTAACTCCACAGCAAACATAGAGGACCATAGGAATGGGGAAAATGTAAAACAGTTTGATACATTTCCGGTGCACAAGAAATTCCTGACATTAGCCCCTTGTACCTGAACAGTCCCTAATGTGTACTGAATGTTGTGATATGCGTCAGTTCAGTCTGATGAAGTTGTTTCATCAGGCTTACAAAGTCAAAGCCTCAGTAAAACTTTCAAAAAGGTTTTATGATAGACATGTGGACGACAATTCCAAATTTGACGCATCAGTGACAAACAAATTTGATGCATTCCCAATTTTTGCTTGTAGCATATGCTTTTTACGAAAAGTGACAAAATCCTTGCTAAATTCATAAAAGAATTTCTGCCAAAAGCAGGGTCGATTGTACGATACAGAATGTATTATCATCATGTGTTTATGAATCACTAAAAAAATAGTGATAATACTATGTGTTCGCGAAAAGGTGAGCGTATCCTGCCCCACCGGTGGCACCCATCCAAAGACTACTGGGTATCATTTTAGGACATATCTTATTTAATATTTTTATTAGTGGTATCTTTTACTCTCTCTGTGAATCTTCATTAATTTGTATCATTATTGAACAATGAGCCTGAGAAAGTCACAAATGTCATCCAGGAAGACTGTATACTTTTCAGGACAAACAATCAAGGCCAAGCCAGAGAAGTTTCATGCAATTAGGCTTAGGAGGAAAGGTAAATCTGCAATAAATAACGTTACATTTGGTGATGCAATAATTGCTTGGTGTAGATACTGTCAGCATGATGACGTTCAACATTCACATTACCGATTTGTTCATGAAGGCTGCAAAACAACATACAGTTCTTCGACAAGTGAGCCAACACTTCAATAGACAGGGTAAGATTGGTAACTACAAATGTTTCAGACATTCAAATTCCAACTACCGCTCCTCATTTGGACATTTTTGTAACAGGTACAGCACTACAAAACTTCGGGAACGAGTCCTTAGATTTGCTGCCACAATAGAGTCTCGACATGGCTGGCGCTATCTTCATTTACATCATTTAAAGGACATAACGCGGTGAATCTTCAAATCTTCATCAGCGTGTACACATTAAAAAGTTTAAAGCAAGCGAGCTACTTCTTTAGGCAGTAACTTTCAGCGTAGATTCTCCGGGTATCAACTTCTAAGTTCGTGCTAAATTCACTGGCGTATGACGACACCAGAATCTGGAATTGCTTGCCGAATGATATGGAGATCATATAAATATTTTCTGAAAGCTTCGGAAATGATCACGCCCAATGTTCAAATGCCCAATATGTATATATACTCTTGAAAAAAATCAGGGGTTACTCGGAAATAACTTGAAATTTTTCCACAATAGTGAGCGATATTAGTTTCTAGTAATAGTTGAATGATAATAATGAACGAATTGTGGACAAGTTCCAACCGGTATTGAAATAGTAGAGTACATGTTAAGACACCCGGTGATTGACATCATGAGCATCGACCCCCGCAACTGGGATACGATGACGTGAATGAACCAAATCAGCGAGCCTGACCACCCGATCCTGTTACTTGCCTCTTACGAAAATGAAAGTGGCCATTTACAGCAAGGCTGGGTTGCTGAAAAACTATTCTACCCTGGATCTTCACGGATGACGTCAATACAAATCATAAGTCGTCTAGATTTGAAAATACCTCTACAGAAAGGGTTCAATACTTTGAATTCTTACCAAAATACATCCTTTGTACCTTTAATAATCTACAATGTTAATGACAGGCAGTAATAGGTGGTAATGATTCAGATCCGAGACAACAAACATAATCAGTATAAAACTCTGAATCCATAGAAGCTTATCTTGACATTGCACTGGTCTTCTATGCTCGCTGGGCCGCACCTGTGTCCCTTGGGTACGCCCCAAACCAATGATTGTTGGTTTACCAGTTCGCTCCGTTCATGTTTCTAGGTTTGTCAGTATCATACCCGTGCTTGTGGGTTTTATTAAATGATACATTTCTGAGACCTGCATCACTTCGGGGTTTCTTCCCACATTAAGCCAACATGTCGTTATATGACTGAAATACTGTTAAAAGTGGCGTTAGACTCGCTCACTCACTCGCCGAAGACTGGGGCGTTTCGTCAGAATTATTTTGGTCCGTTTTGGTGTTGTTCGGTTGAGGGTGGCATCCCTTGCTAGCTCCTCACATCACCACAGGTGGCATGTGATGGAAAGGAGCTTATTGTTCAAAGGGAGGCAACTGCGTAGGTTTCAGCTGCATCTCACGTCGAAGTGTACTGGAATCAGGTTGATAAAAAACAAACCAGCCGATCGGCTACGTTCTCCTAAACTTCATCAGGTCAGTTCGTTTAATCTTTTGTTAAACTTTCAGACTAACGTTACGTCGATGTGCTAGTAACCAGACGCGAAAAGCATGTAATAAATTTAAAAGTCTCCCGCCAGTTACAAACAATTTGGACAGAGAAGATACACATGATACACGTTGCCTAAGCTCATGCCATCTCGCTCACGTCAGTATTAAGACTGAATCTTGCCGGGAAGGGGACTGACAGGGACTGCTTATGTGTAGTTCCCTTTTTGCCACATTAAATGAAAAGTCAGAAAAGTAATTGAAGCATTCAAAAAATCCGTTATCTTGATCAAAACCTTTGTTCGTGTAGGTGTCAAGTTTTACTTCTTCACTGACTGACTAATATTCATTAACTTCAGAATCACAGATAGCAGATCAATTAATACTTCGGGAAGTATGAGTTTTAACACCTACTGCTTGAGTCTAGTCTAGTTTTGTTCCTACATCTAGATTTGTCATCTGCTTTACTGGGTCATATCATGGACTCGTATGTAGGCCTACATGGTCATATGTCCCGCCAACGATGATCGTAACTCTCATACTCCAACACTTAGGGAGCTGGAAGGTATAGGGCTTCCTAGTCAGCCGTCTATCTGTGAAGAGTTACAACTTATGTATGTTTTGTCTATTTTACCTATCAACTGATGTCAACAACTTTATCCCCAAATCTTATCTTTTTTTTTAAAGAAAGAAGCCCCTGTTTTCTGTATATGTCTCCATTCAAATAATAATTTATTTAATTATTTGTTTAATGTTACTTGTTTTTATTTGTACCATACTGTGTCGTTTTATTTCACTTAATTGATTTTTGTTTATTTATCTATTTATATTTTTTGTTGAAACACCCAAAGACGTATATATACGTCCGTGAAACATCCAAGGTGCTGACTGTACTTTATCCTGTGATAAATGCACTTTTTGAGTTGAGTAATAATGGGCTGACATCATGAAAACTGTTCAAATTTTGTTCCTATTGTCTAATGTTTCCTTGGTAACATTGTTCTGTCATTACTGTCAATCAAGATGGCACATCCACATCATTATCAATTGGTGAAATAGTTTCTTTAGCCATGTCGATTAATTTTCTTCTATTCCCTGGGTAAAATATGGCAGGGTGATGTCAACCATCTCTCATGCCACCTGCTTACCACAAACATATTCAAACCCCTGTGTCTGTGCCACATCAGCCACACAGTTGTGCGAGGCGGGCGTTGGTGCCACAGGAATTATGTGTGTCCCTGAACACGGGCATGAGCAATCCTGGAATAGCTTCATAGCCACATGTGCATCTCAGCTCTTCCTCCGCCATGTTCATCCAACGGCGATGGGCTGTACAGTTAAATCACCCACCCTACAGCCCAGACTTAGCCCCAAGTGACTATTTCCTGTTCCGGCAAATGAAATCTGCCCTATGTGGAAGACGCTTCCAGGATGACAAGGACATAAAGGCTGCCACAGAGGCATGGTTAGAGTGCCAATCTGCGGATTTCTATAAAAGTGGTATTAAAAGCTTGAAGGACAAATGGAATAAGTGTATTGAGTTGAATGGAGATCATACTGAAAAATAAAAGTGCAAAAGATATTCTGCGACTTGGTCTTTTATTGTAGTTGCAAGACTTATTGAACGCCCCTCGTACATGGATAAGTGCAGTATATGAATGTATAATACTTGTATATTAATAATTAACCAACCATGTCAAATATTTTATGTTCTTATTTTTCCCTGACTATAACAAATAATACATCAACTGCTGACTTGTTATTGTATTCGTGAATAAATATTTGTATTCCCTACCCTATATTTGTGATACGAATCGTATTTATATCTCATAGCATATTCGTTGCAGCACTATTATTCATATTGAAGAATAAAAGAATAAAATCAATAAAATTATCGAAGCAAGTCCTAATTCATTTCATTTCAAGCAAATGGTGTGTCATCACGGGAAATTGACAAATACTGATTATGAAATAGACACAATCAGCTGAGATAAGAAAAATAACAAACACGAGTTTGGATGTAGTACCAAGATGAAAAAGTTACAGAATGCCCAGTACTGACACATTTTACTCTTGTTTACAGAACAAGATATTCAAGACTGGTTCAAGTGACAGCCATGAGATACGGTTTGGGATGTTGTCACAGATACTCTTGTCTGTCCAAATTGTTTGCCAGGGTACCAGTCAGTGGTAGAATCAGGACTGTTTTTGTCCCCTGGCCAGACTCAGCCAGCAGCAATGAGCTCAGACTTTATCATGCTTGTAGAACAACAGGTTCATCCGACCATGTGTACAATATACTTAATAGAGAAGGAAAACTGTTCAGGCCAAATGTTTAAGATACACTATGTACATCACAAGTGCTGAAGGTGCAGAGGTCAAGCACACACTTAGTACTTAAAGCAGCATCAGTTTCCAACAGTATTGACTCTAGAAGATGCTACTCAGCTGAGAACAGAGCACATGGTAAACATGATGTAATGAAGACACAATTGGAAGAAGAACCTAGGATAAGATCTGATGAAGAAGGTTTGTCACCTCGCAGTCAATCTTCATTGAAGTGTGATCAGACTGATGTGGCTGTGGAAGAGGTACAGAGTCTGGCCCGGGCTGTCCTAGTGGAAGCTGTTAAGGTGGACAAGATGTGTCTGTCCATCCCAGTACGGAATGTGGAGAGAGTCATCCATCTCCTCCTGTCGGAGGACTTCAACATGGAACAGGTGAAGGAACTGCTGATGCAGAAGCCGGGACTCATCAGCTCCAGGAGGCTGAAACAAGTCCTACATCTGCTGAAACATTACGGGTTTCGAGTGTCAGACATCTTTAAGATGCTGATGACAGTTCACGACCTTTCCCTGCTTCAGCAACAGCTTGTGAGGAACCTGTATGATACTCTACTGACAGCTGGTATCAGCGATAGGCATCTTCAGGAGGTGATTGTGAAGGAGCCAAGGTTGCTTGGCCTTGATAGTAAATTCATCCTGGACAGGGTGACATTGATGAAACAATATTTCAAAAAGGATGATGTTCTGTGGATTTTGCGCCAAACACCAGATGTGTTACTGGACAACTGGGATGACATCCTTGGAAAGTTTAATTATGTTTTTAGTGAAATGAAGGTATCCCAGAGACAAATGGTGACTGCTGGTTTGTTCAGCTACTCCCTGGAACATGTGAGAAATCGCCATGTGTTCCTGCTGCGGAGTGGGTTCTTCACGGAGGACAAGCACCTGAGAAGCAACAATCCTATCCTTAAAGACATTATAGCCACGAATGATCATCAGTTTGCTAAACAGTTTGGTGGAATGCATGAAGCTGAATACAAGACATTTTGCAGACTGCAAGCTAACTCTGAAATGGAAAAAGAAAATGCAAAGACAGACTCTGACAAGGATATCACATACAAACTATTGATGTCACGATAAGATTACTCCCAGAATCGATACGTATCGCAAATACTTTGTTCACAATACGATATGTGTGACGATACTTATTTCACAGAAGTTATGAGTGAATGTTTACGTTTCCTAGGCCACAAACACAGGCTTGAAACCTCCTGAATATCTGGTCATATTTTCAAAAAATAATGTCTCATTCCAATCAATACTATTTTCAGTAGAACTTGGATTAAAATATGAATTGATGCATTGATATATTGGTGAATCGTGACATCCTGATTACAAACTAGCTGTGGTGGTTCTTCTAAAGCTTATTTTTTTATTGTGTGGCTAAAATTAACATATAAACTGTTTTCAGAATTAAAAAGCAACAATTGAAATTGATCTTTTATATGCTTGGTCAGTTGGGTTTAGGTAGGAAAAATAAAATAACCATGGTAACAGAAACATGCTGCTTGGAATGTTTGTTAGCACTACGTGTGTGAAGTTATGATCAATTTGTTTATCTGCATTTCAGTAACAGCCTCATCAAAGGGAAACAACTGTTCTTAAGATAAATATTTCATTGCACATTTGTAGAAGTTTGGGGAGGGAGATTTGTGAACTAAGGTATGGAGATTTATTAGACAGATGCATAAATGAATTGTTGTTATTGGCAAGTGTTGTTGTATTGATAATAAACTTGCATTTGAAACAATTTTACATTGGTAATGGTATTTTAATGATCATTTTGCATATCATTTTACTGGTTTGGACTACAGTTCATTGATGGTGATGGTGGTGATGTCGATTATACATAGTGTGTGTAAGGATAAAAAACGACATGCGAGTTGTGTTTTTCATGAACTTGAACTCAACATGGGGCAGTTCAGTAAGCATGTTACAGTGTTCACTTGGCTACAATGTGTGAAGTCCAAACTGGGTGACCCTGCCTTGTTATTCCTGAGATATGACCAAAAGAACTCACGAGTAATACTTATTACTCCAATGCTTATTTGTGGGGATTCCAGGTCAGAATTGGTCCCTGCAACCTTTCCTGGTCATAAGAACCGACTTCATTGATCAGGTGGTCAGGTTTGGTGACTTGGTTGCTGGTGTGTCAATGTGCCCTGAAGCGTGGACTGTTGCTCATAATATCAATCACTGGGTTGCTTAGACCTGATTATTCACAGGCCACAGTCATATAGCTGGAATATTGCTAAGTGCAGAGGAAAACAACAGACAAACAGCCAACAGGCTGCTGGAGGAGCCAACAAATGTTGGAAATTTGGTTCAATGTTTGGCCTCTTACAATACATTTCTCCTTTCTCACCGCTAAGAATGCCCCTATCCCTTATACCGTTTTCATTTTTATGTACTGTTAATAAGTAACTTTTCTAACTTTTCTATTTTTACTTTTATACCTTGAGCAGCAGAAGGTGTGGCCAAAAGAGGTCATTCGGTAATTGTATTCAGGTTTGCTTTTATAACTTTGTTTCCTACTAAAGAAGTAAACAAAATAATTAAATCATCCCTTCCTTCCCCGACAGGTGTGGGAAATAGTCATTGGGCACTGATCTTGCTTAGTTCCTAGTCCCTGGTCCACACTTGATTACATGTTGCCATGGTACAGCTGCAATATTGCTGACTGGCAGAGAACAACAACACATAAAGTACAGGGAATGCATTCAGTTTCAATATGAAATATCTTGACATTTCAGGACTTGATAGCTATGGATAATGCAGACGAGTCAGTTTCCGACTTCGACGACGACTATGATGAGGACTTTGACGACACCGATAGCTACTATACTGATGTTGAAGAGGATGCTAGATCAGATGAAAGCTACATGTCGGACATTTGTATTGATCTGTCCAAAGATGTTGGCGATGAAAGTTACGCAGGTGAAGATAGAAACGTAATAGAAGCAGGAAGTGATGAAGACGATGATATTGATGAGGAAGATGAGGAAGACAATGATGCTTGCCTGGTCCAGCTGACTAAGCCTTATAACCCGAGCAAGGATGACGTGCAAGATAGTGATGAACAATTTGATAAAACTTCCGATTTAGACTGGGGTAACTTGAAGGCACTGATCATGATGGCTGATGGTCCTGGCATTGCGGACTGGTTCTCGAACAGAAATATTTCACCGGCAGCAAAAAACGAAACTGGTAACTTCTGGCCTTTGAATCTTGCAGCCAGGATTGGGAGATTGAGTATTTTCAACTTCCTACTAGGTGAAGGCTTCCCTTTTGATACGCTTATTCATCCTTTCTTAGAAGCATCCCTGAACCACGAGTTTGACATCATGGAGAAATTGCTTGAAATTGGTGTTGATGTAAATGTATGTGATCTGAGCGGTGCGACAGCTCTGCATTTAGTTGCCAAACAAGTGACCTGTAAGCCCCAAAAGATCAAGTTTCTGTTGTCCAATGGGGCTCGCATTGATCAGAAAGATAATTCAGGAATGACTCCTCTTCACTATGCTGTGATGATGGGATCCATGGGAAGTGTGATAGCGTTCCTGAGGGCAGGTGCTTCTGTGAATATACTGAGTGGCAAAGGGAGGCCTGTTCTACATATGGCAGTGTATCGAGGGCTGAAGATGGTGGTCCTTCTGTACAAAGCCGGCGCCAGGCCGGGAACCTCTTCAGCATATAGTGAAGTATCGGCAGCATGGAAACACGAGAATATGAACCTTCTGAAGTTCTTTATAAAAAGGAATGCTTCTGTTAAAATCCCTGTGACAATGATGACACGATTAAACTTAGATGACCTTGATAAAGTAGGAAAGATGTTGGATCTATTAGTTGGTGCAGGATATTGTCCTCAATCAGAGCTGCTGCTTGAAGTGTCCAACAGTCCTGACTTTAGTAAGTCAACATTGGACAGACTTCGACAGGTGGAGAGTAATGCCAGAGGCTTACAGGAGCTTGCTTGTTTTAAGATTCGGGACATTATCCGGAACCAGCCCCGATCTATCCTGGAGGTAGTGAGGCACCTCAACCTGCCCGACATTCTGAAGGATGTTTTATTGTTGAAGGATGTCATCGGAAAGTGATCATCATCATAATGTTGAATTATATAAGCAACGGCAGAAGTAACTGTAATCTTTTTATCATATTATTACTATCTTATATTTTTTCTTAGGAGTGCATTACTCCAAACTTCTCACTTCATTTTCTTTGAAAATTTAATGTTAAGATTTAATTGGGCTAAAAGGCACACCATAATCATTCTATATATATAATCCAATCAGCCCCTTTGGAGATCTACAGCCCCTTTAGAGATCTACAACCCCTTTGGAGATATCCAGCCCCTTTTAGAGATCTCCAGCCCCTTTAGATATCTACAGCCCCTTCAGATATCTACAGCCCCTTTAGAAATCTACAGCCCCTTTTGAGATCTAAAGACCCTTTAGAGATCTACAGCCCCTTTGGAGATGTACAGCCCCTTTAGAGATGTACAGTGATGTACACCAGTGGCTATTACGAGTTATGTCCCTTCTATGTTCCTCCTCTTCACCAATCAGATTCAACATCTCATATCACTTGCATTTGCTTCAAACAAAACGGAAGCGTTCAGTCAAGATGTTATGATCAATAATCAAGATCTGTATTGTAATGAAACTGACAGTTAACTCCCTTGCCTCAGGTAGATGCACTAGCTTGTCTTCACAAGCAGTCTGTGAGGTGTATATTACTAGGCACAGACAAATACATTATGAAATAATTTGTCAGTAGTTATCCCTGAGCATTATTATGACTTACTTCGTGAAGTCCTTTGCCAAGGCTTGGGACCAACGGATCAATTCACCTGGGACAGGTAAGACTTAATTCCTTGTAGCTTGGAGGTTATTCTCTGAACAAACTGCAACACAATTATCATGACGATTATTATAGGAGAAAAAGAACATAATATGATCAGTTGGTTTTGCCTTTGATTATATATACTACTCAAAAGAAGTTAAAGAACACCTTACATATTACTGTAGTAGCTTTAGTAACATAAAAGAATTGTGTGTTCTTTAACTTCTTTTGAGTACGTGTACCAGATTTGTCGACCTCTCATCATGCTCATGTTGAAGTGATATTTAACGCATTCATGGGTGTTCATCCAACACTGAGGGAAGCAAAATCAATAACAAAGTGCCGTGGTCAGTCAGGTCAAGTTTAAGTCCTTTTCCGTTTTGTGGATGAAAAACATTAATTTCTATTTTTTAATTTTTGTCATAACTCTATTATCTAGGGAGCTTTTTCACCAAATTGACCCGTACAATATTTTAATTTTCTAAAATGTAGCCTTCTTGAATTGGTCTTTGAATTATGACCAAGAAAATCACTAAAAGTAAAGTCTTGGCCTTGCCTGAAGAGAGTCGACCATATGCTCATGTTTTGTATAATGTAAAATATAACAAATCAAACAAAATAAAACAATGTGTTTTATTGATTTCATACATTTCATTAAGGAGTTGTTTTCTTCTTAGTCAACCCTATTCTGGAAATTTTAAATATAATGGAAGATTATTTACATATCGATGAGATCATCAACAAGAATAGTCCTACTAGACACTGAGTGTTGTCGTTGTTTTGCACCTGTCTGTAAATTCTCTAGATCTGGCCAAGGAGGCCAATGGTTGGTAGCAAATAATTCATGTGTGTATGAATGTCGAAAAACGAAGGACATTCCATCATTCCATGGATACTTTAATGCACAACTGGGTGATACAGAATCAGTGTATACAATAAATAAATAATACAATCTCCACCAGCAGAAGAGTTGCAGGAACCTGGAATTATGGTACAAGTACTGGCGGGACAGAATCACCATGATAGTGAGTGAGTGAGTTGGGTTTAAGGCCGCTTTTTAACAGTTTTCCAGTTATATCACGGCGTGTCAGCTTAATGTGGGAGGAAAGCCAGAAGTGATGCAGGCCCCAGACGTTTACCACTTCGGTAAAACCCAGGAGCACAAGCATGGTGCTGACAAACCTAGAAACATAATCGGGGCAAACCAAAATTCGAACCCATAATCATTGGTTTCTGGCGTGCCCAAGGGATGCAACTCTGCACAGCAAATCGCAGTGCCTGAGACGATTGGGCCACCCGTGCCGCCGAATCACTATGATAAGTAGACATCAAAGTAATTTCATGTGAATCATAACAAAAATATATTTCAATTCCTGAACTAATTATTTTTAATCTGCAATGAAATAGCTATTGACTTTCAAAACATCAGAAATAAGTCCTGCGATCGTTGATGTAAACAGATGTATATCTGCTTATGAATACAAGTCTGCAAGGTGAAAGCGTATCATTTTACTGTTTTATGACTGAGTGAATTGTCTGTAACCCTTCAGTCACAAATGTTACTGTTATGTCGGGGTGGCCTGTCAGACTTCGACCTGAGATACTAATGCACAAGAACTGGTTACTGGGGACCTATTTACCCCCCACAACCAAATGATGTGTCTTCTTATACGAAATCCGGTGTCTAAAACTGCTCCACCATTCAAGCCAGTTCAGTGGTTAATTAATATGACTTAAATTAATCAATTCTATATTGTTTGTTTGATTTGTTTCGTCATGACATCACACTGCATCAATGTCCTCC